GTCCGTAAGCATTAGACCCGCTAATCAACATCCGACACAAAAACTGACAGCCATAGAACTGAGAGGAACAAGTGAGTGCAAACTGCAATGGACAGACAATATCCGGTGCACAAATTTTGGGGGGCGTTACGGGGGATTTTCGGGCGTCCCCGTCCCTGCCCAGCCTCTCAGAGGCCGCCGCCAGCAGGAAAAAAAAAAGCGGGCCCTACCGGACCCCGTTTTCGTTTGAAAACACGCGGCCAATCTCCGCCGCCGATCGGCGCATATCGACGGTGGAAATCGGCCGCGCGTTTGCAAACGAAAACGGGGTCCGGTAGGCCCTCGTTTTCAAATTTGAAAACGCGCCCGATTTCGGCCGCATATCTGCGGATCTGCGGCCAAAATCGGCCGCGTTTTGAAATCTTTACCGGTCCAGTGGGCTGCCTCTGTCCCTCCGCCCCGCCTGCCCCATGCTACAGCAAGAAACACACGACGTTGACGTCGCGCCTTTCTGCATGCGCGTCGACGGCGTGTGCTGCCACCACGCGACAAGCGCCAGCGCCCCGTCTCGAGCCCGCCACCGACCTCTCTCTGCAGCTGCTTCGCCCCGCCATCCCGCTTCGTTGCAACCGCCCTCCATAGCCGCAAAGGTAAGTCCACCAGCGCCCCTCCTCCTCCTCCTCCTCCTCCTCCTCCTCTTCTTCTTCTTCTTCTTCTTCTTCTTCTTCTTCTTCTTCTTCTTCTTCTTCTTCTTCTTCTTCTTCTTCTCTTCCTCCTCCTCCTCTTCTTCTTCGTCGTCTTCTTCTTCTCCTCCTCCTCCTTCCTCTTCTTCTTCTTCTTCTTCTTCTCTTCCTCCTCCTTGTCCTCGTCCTCATCATCTTTTTCCCTCCTCCTCTTCTTCTTCTTCTTGTTCTCCTCCTCGTCCTCTTCTTCTTCATCTTTTTCCCTCCTTATCCTCCTCCTTCTTCTTCTCCTCCTCCTCCTCTTCCTCCTCTTCTTCTTCTTCTTCTTCATCTTCTTCCTCTTCTTCTTCTTCTCTTCCCCCTCCGCGTCCTCATCATCCTTTTCCCCCCTCCTCCTCTTCTTGTTCTCCTCCTCGTCCTATTCTTCTTCATCTTTTTCCCTCCTACTACTCCTCGTCCTCTTCTTCTTCTTCTCCTCCTCCTCCTCCTCTTCCTCTTCTTCTTCTTCTTCTTCTTCTTCTTCTTCTTCTTCTTAGTGGTCTTCTTCGACTTCGTCTTCTTCCCCTCCTCCTCCTCCTCCTCCTCCTACCTCCCTGTTGAGCCCGAGCCATAGCGGTAGCAATTTTATTTTTTTTACCATCTCGGATTCTTCTTCTTCTTCTTCTTCTTCTTCTTCTTCTTCTGCTTTCTTCTTTGACTCCTCCTCCGCCTCCTCCTCCTCCTCTTCTTCTTCTGCCTCGTCTTCCATGAGGTATGTATGCTGCTGCTCACAGGCCTGCACACCCATGAAATGCACCCTGCGCCATAAAACCCTTCCCCCCCACCCCCAGCCCCAACCCCCCCCACCACCACCCAAAAAGAAATTCCTGACTGTCAAGTTTTATTGCGGATTCCGACAGATCTCAAAGAGCGCAGTCGGATGCCGCAATCAAAAAAAAAATAAAAAAATTTGGGCATTTTTGGGGGCATCCGGGTTTGCCGGTTCACCCCCCCTGGACCGGGGCAGGTGATCCGGCCGGTTGCTGGCTTAGCCTTGATTCAGATAGAATTCTTAGCAGGCAAGGTAGGACCCAAACCCAAAACCAAAGAAAGATAGGCTAACTTAGGCAGGGGTGAGGGTGGTACATCCTTCCAAATGGAAGTAATCAATGCTGTCCACTCGGACCTCTCAAAAAAAAAAAAAAAGAAAAAAAAAAAAGGTTTTTTAAACTTTAAAGCATACGTGCGGCGCATCGAGGTGCGCGGCATCCCGCACGTACGCCGCACCGCGCACCGCGCACGGGGTGCGGCGCACCCCGAAAATAAGGGGTCGTCCAAAAAAAAAAAAAGTTGGGGAGGGGTGTTGTAGGCTCAAGTGGGATGTCGCGTCAAGAAACAAAAACAACAACAACAACAATTTGAGGCCGCGCGGGGCCTCGGAAACAAAAAAAGCGGGGGGAGCTGAATTTTCTTTTTTAAGGAAGAACATCAGAATTTCTTTGCACGAGTGAAGCCCGGCGCGTCCAACCTGTCAGAACCTCAACGGTAATGTTCACCAACGGGCTCGCTGCACAACTCTCGACATGCACAACAAGACATAGGGCCTCGCTGCACTACTCTCAACATGCACAGAAGACAAAAATATTGGCGGTGTATCTTTCCATATTCTAACGCAAGTGTGAGGATTAAGCCCTCAAGTCGGGGCCTTGCCATGATGCACATGTTCTGGGCTAAGGCCCCCAGCAAGCCAAGTGCCCGCCCTAAGTGAAGGCGGGCCTGCAAATCAACAAGAACCTCTATGTCAACATTTCACGAAGTGGGGGTCTATACAGTTGCAGCACGCCAGTTGGTTGGAGTGCACAGAGTCTCGGGTTTCAGTAAATGCTGAAATGCCCAGGGCCTCTGAGTTAGTTAGGCCCTGGGCTCTTGAACGTGAGGCCGACAATGCATGCTGGGTAGAGAGGCCGAAAATGACAAAGGGAAATCGGCCCACTGTCTGAATCTGGCCGCAGGCCTTGATGAAGGAGGCGCAACTGCCTTGCCCCGGGGCCCAACTGTATCGAGTTGGCTTCAGCCTCTGGGCCCCGGTCACAGGCTGAAGGGAGGCCGCCCACACGCTGCACTGGCATATAGGCAAGCAGGGCGAGGCAGATGGGGATCTTGGCCAATGCTGGCATATGCGGGCACGCTGTGCAGATGCAAGGCTGCTGCGCTAATGCAGATCAGCGCTGCGCTAAGAAGAAGCAGGGCAGCGCTAGGCGGTAGGGCGCTGCCTGCTTGCAGGGCACCGGCGGCCATAGCCGGGCCGCAAGAGGGTGCAGGGGAGGTGAGGGCGAAGGTGGTACTTCGGAGGTGAAGGGCGCTGTGTGGGTAACAAGGGAGAGTGTGGGGAAGATGACACGTACCTGGTGATGGTGGAG